CTTCCTTCCTTCCTTCCTTCCTTCCTTCCTTCCTTCCTTCCTTCCTTCCTTCCTTCCTTCCTTCTTGTATCTTCTAGATAGCCCTGGTTTTATATAGCAGCTCATTATGCGTTGGAGAGCTGATACTTTCACCCCAAGGTTTTCCAAGCAGAATCTTTTTTCTGTCTTGTAGAATTCATTTTAGCCATACCTACTGCCAAGCCTTCCACCAGCAGGGACTCTAAAGGAAAATTTCCCATCTCCCTCTATGTCAAGTCTTAAGTTAAAGAAACCTAAACTAACTCATTAAAAGGGTCTACACAAAGCCTGGGAGAACAACTAGAATCTCATAAGACTGTGAGCTGCATGAATCTCTGGGGCAGGTGTTATTCTAGGGGGCAGGCACTGTGACCAAGCAGGCGCACCTCCTGGGTCCTGCAAGATGACATTGTTGGATAGGACCTGGAGGACACCCACCCTGGAGGGCAGCCACCCTGCAGAAACAAGTGAAGATAAGTGGTACTTCAGCTTATGCAATCAAGAGGTTTAAATGTGATAACTTCCATCACTGCTTGTGCCTTTGAATTCTGGACCAGCTGTAGCTTCTGGATGGTCTTCAAAGGTACTCCACATACAGTACATTGCAGTAATCCAAACATGAGATAACCAGGGTGTGAGTGACTCTCCAAATAAGAAAAATATAACCTTTAGTTATGTATAGACAAAAATGGCTTTTACTCTCCTACTTGCATTCAGAAACAAAACCCATACAGATCTACAGACAGCATTATACCAGTTCAATGGCAGTAGTTATTAAACTCAATGGGAAGGAATCTCCCAGTTCTGAGAGGCTGGCTCAGAGACAGCAGTCCTTCAGGAAAAGCTCCTTAAAAGGGCACTACAGTTCAAAACCATAGTATCGTTCAACTATTCCCCTCTTACAAACCACCATGGCCTTGGTAAAGTCTCATGGAGCTGTTTCTCCCTCTTTTGCTGGTTATTTATCCTTACTGAACCTTCTCCTTGGTAGTCTAATTGAATCCCATCTGGTTTTCCTCCTCTTTGGCTCAGCCAGACATGAGCCACTGCCAGCCAACTCATACTATAGAAGGACAAACACTTCCCTGATCATGATCTCAGATGACGAGCACTGACCAAAACCAAGACAAGAAAAACCACACAGTTATCCTGGAATAGAAAAATAAATGTTTTTGGAAAAGGGAGAAGCAGCACTTTAGTTACAAAAAAGGCTCATAAGAATGTACACGCTCAGGACTCATGGAATGTTAGTTATCTGTTAGAATAGAAAAATGAAAGTCAGGGATAGAGTTGAGCATTTTGGAGGAAAACAGCTGGCTGGAAGTTGTAAGGAAGACTTCCAGTAGGACAAAAGTGATCAGCCTATGGCACGTGTACTGATGCCACCATTTAAAAGCAATTCCACAACCTTTATTCCTAGTGCTACTACCCTCATCTGCTGCGGACACAGATGGTGTTTATGAATGAGGTCATTATGAAACATTGTATTCCATGTTTTCCAAGTCTTCATCAAACTTTATACTACTTGCATTGCTTTTAGTGTGACTGCCAGATCAAATAATTACAGGTTCATGAGGCTGAGTGATTTAGAAATCTGACCTAATTTTTATAACAAATGTTTTCTTATTAAAAGAACATTTATTTCAGAACCTTGGCACACTCTCTTTCATAATATAATATAATATAATATAATATAATATAATATAATATAATATAATATAATATAATATAATATAATATAATATAATATAATATAATATAATATAATATAATATAATATAATATAATATAATATAATATAATATAATATAATATAATATAATATAATATAATATAATATAATATAATATAATATAATATAATATAATATAATATAATATAATATAATATAATATAATATAATATAATATAATATAATATAATATAATATAATATAATATAATATAATATAATATAATATACAATTATATTATATTAATGGTGTAGCATAATATAATTTTAAACTATATATAATCATAATGCCCCAGTCATCCCAAGAACAACACTCTTGACTGTGGACTAGATTTTTTTTCCTCCTCTTATAATGAAAAACTTATGATTTTGCTGTTTCTTATTTTTTTTATATTGCTCTCTGTTTCCTCCTGAATTAGGTTTACTTGCCAAAGCTCCCTGGATGGGACTGGAGAAAAGGAGATAGTATCATCTGCTTTGCTGAGCTCAAACTTGGGTTAATAGCCCAGAGTTGTGTGGTTCCAGGTTTGACCACATTGTTGACCAGTCTATTCATTAGAGAAGATATCCAGGTACATCTCTTCATCCTCTTTAATCCACCTTGACCTAATTGCCATACAGTAGCATTGGGTAAATGCCTGAATAAAATGATTAGCAAATTTTCAAGTAGATTTCATCAAAGCAGCAATCTCTTTTTCTAGGGAATTGGGAAAAGAAACATCTCAGATATTTCCAGCTGAACTCCAAGGTGGATTTTTTTCCCCCCTGATGTTCACCTTGGATGTTAATATTAATCTGGAGCTGTTTTACCATTCTGTTTTACTATTTTGCTTAACAGCTTCAAGGATACTACAATGGTGCTCTATAAAAATGAAATATATGTATGTTTACATATACGTATACAAACACATACACACAGTTTTTCTGGGGAGGTACTACTAGAATTCAGCTATGATTTATCTTTTTCATATTTATGAATTTATGTAAAAGTTGATTCTCCTCCAATAAGACTACAGGTCAGAGGACATTTTGCCACCCACTTTTACCCTTACCAGAACCATGTAATATCTTTCACAATCTTTCTGCCTGATAGTCATGTGTATGAACTGGGATCACTTCCCATCCTCTTCTTTAACCCTTGCACACTGCTCTTCCTTTCACCATCCATGTCTAAGGGGGATAACAACTTGTTTCTCTTATGTCTTCAATTCTCTGTGTAAAGCAAACACCTTTTACTATCAACAAATCACATCCACCTCAAAGGGAATTATATGAAATCTTTTTTCTGATACTCATATTCCAAACCACTGCATTCTTCAAGGATTTCCCTTTGATATTGGTTAAGTTGTACTTTTTAGAACAGATTTCTAAATTTGTCGTGAGAAAGGTCAATACTATTTTAGATTTTAGAGGGTCACAGCGCCACAGATTTCGATAACCTCTTTTATTGGGACTGTCGTGACTTAATGTGCATCTTTTTGTATAATCTTCATTGGAATGATACAGCTTTGTTGGTACATCCTGATTATCAAGTACTTGATATTTCTCATTTGAAGACCTAACAGGATAAATTATTATTAGAACTGATTGTTGCCCAATTTAGATAACAACCCTGCCACAGGGGATCCAATTAATAATTGTTTTTGTTACAGAATATGGATTTTTTGATTAAGTACCAGCATGAAATAGAAGGCCAAAACTATAAAGTGATGACTCAGCTTCTTTCCAATGATTTTGTTGGCATGTCCTTCAAAGAAGTTTGCCGGTAAGTTCTTCACTATCTTGACTCCCTTATCCCAATTCCTTAATTTTCCACTTTAAATTCCACTTTCTTTGCCACTTAAACTTTTCCAGATTTTCACCCCCTGGACAAGTTACTATTCAGACATGTTAATTCTGGACCAAAAGTCCCTCCACCATCCCAATCATCAGAATAAAGTTATTGCTGCACATAGGGACTTGTTTAGTATATTTAGATCCCACAATTTATTCACTGTGAGATTTTGGATTGCATATTTTGGATTCCCAGAACTAAACCAATTCTAGCCCTGCTAAGCTTGATAATTATACCAAGTTTCTGAGATCTGAACATTCATTGGCATGTTAAAGTCATATTTCTTCAAGCCTTATGAGTGTCAATCTTTGGACTTTACGATGTGCGCCATAAGACATAGAAACAAGTCCTCAAAGGAAGATCAGTTGGTTCTACTTTCAGGAACTTTCTAGCCAGAAGACACACCTCTCCATTGCACCCAGATATTCTGCTTCAGGCTCATCCTATATCTTGCCAACCATGGAGACAAAACAATGCAATAGGAGCTCTTTAAAGTTCCTCCGGATAGGATGGAGTTGATCACCATACAGATTCTAGCCTTCTATATATGGTTTCAGAGTATGACAGAGATAACGTACTGATTCTAATAGAGGAGAAACTTAGCCAATAGGACACACATGGAACTATCCAAGGTCCTGTTTTTACAATTCTATGCCTTGCCGGAAACGTGGTCACTGAGGATCCTGGTTGGATGGTTCCCACCATGCTTGAAGAAGCCAGAAAACAAGACCACATCAAAGTTAAAGACTGCTTATTTTTTAATAATGGGGAAATATTCCCAACCTTACCTCTTTGTTTTTTGTTTTTTTCTTGTGTGTGTTTGTGTGGCCCCCCCCCTTTTTTTAACCTGAACGTATCTCCTTGTGTTTAAGATTGTGCTTTCTGAAGCTGGATCTCATACTTCTTGCTATTGAGTTTCGATCTGGCAATCAAGGAAACAGGTGATGCTTGAACCTCTCTGTGTATCAGGTTAATAACTCCACCCATTCTTTTGTCTGAATGTGTTTGTGGCCACACTATGTTGCCTAGAATCTGTTGATAATAGTCCAAGCTTGCTTAACTCATTTTTGTTTGCTGCCTGTAGGGACTTTGGAATATATAGCTGAATGGAAAGTATTTCATAGAGCAAAGGTGGTGGCCCTAAAATCTTAGTTCTGGGGTCAAATTTGTGAAAACCTAATCCATCATATCTCTTGGGACTCTGCGATATGCCAGGTTATGGGCTTGGTATATGGTATATGCTACAGACAGTCCTCTACTTACGAATTTTCAAGTTACAAACTTTTGCCAGTATGAACAAACCTGTCCACAACTCCAGCCTATAAGGTCCTGGAAGGCGGGGGAATGTGGGAAAGGGTTAGTTTATGGCATGCCACATGCATATGCTTGACAGCACCATTGCACATTGGGAGGTATGCTTTTTACTTGGTTGGACTTACGAACAAAATGGACTTATGAACAGCCTCTTGGAACGTACCCGTTTGTAAGTAGAGGACTGTCTGTATATGGTATATGGTAGCAGAAGGAAAAAAATAAGTACTGCTGAAATAGGCTTTATTCCAGGGCTATAAAGCTATTTCAGAGACTCTGGAGATTATCTGGGACCCAAATGGTTTTCAGAAACCAATGAGACCTATGCTGGTGTTTTCTCTACCTCCCCACTGGAATATTATAAAGGGCTGTTAAGGACAGCCTTATTGGGACATATAATGAACAGGGAAAGCAAGTAAATATTCACATTCACTATAAAAATGCAAACCACTATTTAAGGGGGAAAACGCTTCAATATGATAAATGTTTTCTGAATTTTAATATTTTGAATATAGCAAATTAATTGTACTGTTTAAAAATAAATAAGATTGTGTCCAAATAAATTCATGCCTAGGATAGATGTGATGAAATCAATGGATTTAGGACATGTTGACTAGCCCATCCTATTGACTTCAGTTGATAGATCACATCTGATTCTTGCACTAATCTACCCACATGCCCTATACATATTTTTGATTAAGAACTAAATTACCAAGTTTGGAATGTTAAGGATATGTGAATCATGCCAAATCAAAATTGATTTGGAAGCAATCTGACTCATTTAGATCCTTCAACTATAATTTCTCAGTAATTTAAATCTGGAAAGTTAATTTAAGAAAAAGTCTTTCTGTGTATGCACACAAGGCCCTTGAATTGGACTGATTTGAAGGCAACTGATGCCATCCAAATCAAGATTCAGAGAACGGATTTAATCAAATTTTATTGAAAATGAATTTCAAATTGAATTTTCATACAGCTCTAGTAATTTAGTTTGAAAAGACAGAGGCCATGAAGTCAACTGATTGTAATTGGCACTCTGAATACATTTTTATTCTTTTAGACCCAATGGAATGTTGAAAAGAAATTATGTAAAGTAGGTTGGGACTTCGCTGTTCCATCAGCATCATGATTCCCCCAAATCTGAACATAAACCAAATTTATTGGTGGTTGAGAAAAATGGGCAGGATCAATCCAGGAGCTATGGAGAGAATAAAATCTCACAAAGAGTCAGTTGAACAACAGCACACAATGCTGCCAACACCATCTTTTTTTATTGTAAGTTATCCAGAGTCACATTCTGTGAGATGAGTGGCTATATAAATATAAATATATTAATTGATTGATTGATTGATTCCTCCTTCCTGTCCTGATCATGTGTCCCAGAGGAGAGCTATGCTTAAGGGGTTGGAAAGAATGGCAGAAATCATACTCTGCATATTTTCCCTTCCATGTTAATTCAGCTTTACTTTCTTTTGCATGAATTAGAAGTATGATATTCTGTAGGTAGTAAATTAAGAGAAAAGTGGCAATACTGACCCATATCATTAATATACTATTTAACAATAGCATCCTGATCAACCCATCTTCCATAATTAAAATGCATCACAACACAATGGGCTTTTTCATTGCTGCATCTGTCCAGGAACTCAGAAGGTAATCTCCTTTAATTATTTCCATTCAACTGGGGGCATATCGAAAAGTGGTTTATTACCACTGAACATGAAGAAATGAAATAAAGCTATCTTGTCTGTTTTCTCAGCTGCTCTGCCTAATCTATTTTTTTGTTCCACTTTTATTCTCCAGAGCTTATTATTATTGTACACAATGCCACAGTGGGATTACCAATCCAGAGCTCATTGTGAAGTGTCATTGCAAAGGGAAAAGTGTGAAAAAACCAGTCCTAGATTCTGGTAATTTAATTTTCATTTCAGTAGCTTTAATGTATTGACAGATAATTGCTAGTTCCATGATGCATAAGTCTTCTGCATTTCTTGTTACTATTCCCATGCTATGTTATGAAAAATAAATCATTTCTGATCTTTTTTAAGAAGAAGAAAATGTGGGTGAAATTCTCATGGATGGGTCACTTACTTAGTTACAAAATAGCTGATAAATATATGTGAATGTCATCTCACCCTTTGTGCATTCATATCTCCGGTTGCCTGCATGCTCCCTGATTTTGATGACTCAACTGCACCCCAAGAGAACATCATGAGGAAACTGCTCCTATAGGATTTGTTTTGGATCAGAAGCTATAGTCAGCCAGGATGCTGTTAAGAGAGATGGAGAGATGTGTGTAATTCTAAACAAAGAATATTAACATCATCTGTCTCATCACAACAATAAAGAACACTCAAGAAGTCTAGCGAAATATTCCAAAGCATCCTGAGAATGAGAGGAGGAGGAGGTGGTTGTCTTTGTGGAGGAAAAAATAAATATTTGTTCATTTAGACAGGTTTGTACAGTTCTTGCCTTCATGATGAGCTGAGTTCTAGTCCCACCTTAGGCACAAAGCCAGCTGGGTGATCTTGGGCCAGTCCCTCTCTCTCAGCCCTAGGAAGGAGGTAAGGGCAAGTCACTTCCAAAACCTTGCCGAGAAAACTGCAGGGACTTGTCCAGGCGGTTGCCAAGAGTCAACACTAACTCGAAAGCACCAAAAAAAAGAAAAAGAAAGAAAGAAAGAAAGAAAGAAAGAAAGAAAGAAAGAAAGAAAGAAAGAAAGAAAGAAAGAAAGCCTTCATGATAAATGGGTCAGATTATTTAGATAACTTTCTTACCATCATCTTTCAAGACAACATTCATTACTGAGGGGACAAATTCTGGAAATGACTCTAACCAAGCATGGCAAAAATAATTCACCACTGTCATGCAGAGACATTCTTGTATTTCAAAGTTTTGCAAGATAGATTGCATTTACAGAGGCACAGACAACACTCTTGCTAAGTAATAAGGTATCAGTTAATAATGGTTTGTTGCATTTTGAAGGGGGTTCTAACTCATTTGAGACTATACCACAGGTATGTAAAGACTTCTATCTACACTGCCCAGTAATTGTTGGAAAATAGTCCTGAAGGCAGAGTGTGCTTCCGTCAGTGTTAGTCAAGCATGCAGTTGCTGACTGGCTAATTCTCTGGAACAGGCTGCAAAGGTCAGAAAGAGTAGCTAGCCAGTCAGCAATCATACACCTATAGGGAATTGATGGAAGTCTCCTGATATTTCATGATAATTTCTTTCTTGGTGATTCTTGGGGGAAAAAAAGAAAGAATTATCTTCTCCCTGTCACTCAGCCCTAAATGGAAGTGACATTACTGAAGCACTTCAGTTGGCCAGTTGTGTCTTACCATTCTCAGACACACAAGCTCAGGTTGAGCTGTTCTACCAGGAATAGCCATCTTCCATATGGTTTGAAGCTCTAAGCAAAGCCAACTTCCCCTGCAATTCAGTACTAGTTAAGCTCT